CCACAAGGGTGTCTTTTGTTTAGGGTTTCATCAGTGGTTTGGATTGGAAAGACTTTGAATCAGGATTTTTGGTTCTCATCAAGTCATTGTGTGAGTATACACTCAAGGAAAAGATTAGGGTTTCTCACTCTTTATGTAAGATGGGCAAATGTCGTGCAATTCAGGTTCACTCGAGGATAACAGGTTAAGCGTACGTGTGCAGTAGTCTGATGTTGGTCAAGAAAGAAAAGTTTGTGTCATTTTAAAAATGGATTTGTCAAGGATCGGTTCATTTACAATTAGGGTTTTTAGATAGTGTCATTTGCATTTCAAGTCACATTCTTCTATTTTATTGTTTCAAGGCCTTAATGTATTTGAATGACCAATTTGTTTCATGACTTGATTCAAAAAGTGTTAGAGATTAGTTTTAGTGAAATTTTTGGATTCAATTCAAGATTGATAATTTTTGAGTCAATTCAAGCATGATTGTTCAAAATTCGAGTTCTCAGGCATAAGATTCAAGAGTCAATTTGGAGGGTGTTAATAGCACTAGAGCCCATATAGATTCAAGGCCCAATTTCATTACAAGGAAAATTCAATTTGCAAGTGAAAATAAAAGTCGATACAAGTCAATTTTACAAACCAAATAAACATGGAGGTGCATATAGTTACAAAAAGCCTATTACAATAAAAAGCCTACTTTTGGTTTTACAATAATTACAACATCACAAAAAAAATCAAAAAATTGGAAAAGAGGAAAACTATATTTTTATGGCAAGGGGAGGCGCTGTTTTCCTTGTTTTTTTTACTTTTCACCTTAATTCCTCTAACCCATGAAAAGACGACATGTGGCCTGATATGGAAAAGTAGAAAGAACATTTGAAGCATCCTCTCATCCCTCTTCACGATCTCACGTTTTCAATAGAAAAGAGGAAAACCACTTTCTTCAAGAACCATATGCCTGCACTGCACTCAACAAAACAAAAACGACATGCCTGCTATCAATGCAAAAACCTGAACAAACCGCAGCTAATGCAGACCATCCACAACATTGACAACAGATAGTGACTACACCATAACAATAATCTGCAATAGCCTGCAATGAAGTAGACATCACACGTAGAGAAAAACATAGTAGTGGTATTAAAACATACCTCACATTAATCATCGAAGGATAGTAGCTATCAAGGAGAGAAATCATAAAGGGGAAGATTTAACTGGAAAAAAAAATTGGAGATATCAATTTCCTCTTCCACGCCTCTTCCACATAACTATTCCCTTTCACTTTTCTCATCGTCGATACCACCCTTTCAATAATCCTCCATCAATTTTCTTTTCAAATCCTCACCAACTCATCAGTCATCAACATTCACAAAACCAAAATCACTCGCAAATCAACACATCAAAAACAGAGTGACACCGAACCCAAAACCAAGCAAAATCGAACAAAAGACAGAAACCAGGTGAGAAGAAACCGAGACACAAATTGAGCAAATCTGAAACGAAAGGAAAAAGATTGAAACCTAGATAGATAAAGTTCGATCAAGAACGAAACTGAAGGAGAAGGTTGGAATCATCATTGTTTTTATTTGTTCCTTTTCTTTGACTTGGCTTTGAGGAGTAGATGATGATTCGACCCTGTTTTTGTTATTTCTGATCTTGAATTTTTTTCTATTTGACTTTTATCCACATTTATTTTAAGGGAGGTTGATGATGTTACACCGCGACTTCCTTTGCGCTCTTTTTCTTCTTCTTTTTCTTCCATGTCATTTTTTTTTACACCCTTTAGATCATCTATGCACCCCTCTCCTTGATTTATTAATAAGTTTGTTTTACTCTTATGTTCATTTTCTATTAACTTCTTCTTTATTAAGTTAATTACTTTATTTTATATATTAAAAAAACCTAAAGATTTTTTTTATTTCAAAATGTTTAAAATTCAAAAGAGACTTTTGTTCTAGGTTTAGAGTCACCGCACTCTATGTAGGTGTCTCACCGCAGACATTTATGTTTCTCTTTAGAACCTTGACCACAGTCAAAAGTTCCTCACCCCTTTTGAGGGGAACTATGAATGCTCTGATTTCTCATTTATCGATGAGAATACATAGGCACAAGATACGATGTCTTGGCGAGCTCACTAACAACTAACTTCCTGTTAACATTTGCAACTTAGGATTGGAGTCGCGGCGCTCCAGGTAGTTGTCCTGCCGTGGACATTTCCCTTGTTTATCATTACTATAGGACTTAGAGTTGTCGTACTCTATTTAGTTGTCCCTCCGTGGACATTCTTTTCTTTGCTAACTTAACCTTAGTCTAAAGTCGTCGCACTCTATGTAGGTGTCTCACCGCAGACATTTACTTTCCCCTGGGAACCTTGAACACAGTCAAGAGTTCCTCACCCCTATTGAGGGGAAATACGATTGCTCTGATTTCATTCCCGTCGAGATACGTAGGCACGAGATGCGATGTCTTGGTGATCATACTTTGTATATACTTTAGATCTTTACCTTAGCATTTTTCCTTTAACAAGCAAACTTTAGCATAACATAAATACTAACAAGAGGTTCCTGTAGAGTACTACAGATATTTTGGATGATAACACCTTCCCTAGATATAACCAACCCCCAAACCTTAGATCTCATTGTTGTGTTGTTACATAGCGCACTTAGAGTTTTCTTCGATCTTTATCCTTTCCTTTGGATAAATCAAAGCTCGGTGGTGAATTTCATAGATTTGTGATTCAAGTATATTAATAGTTTGATATCTGATTCTCACTGCGATACTTCACATGAACTTCTTACACATTCTTCTACATTTTTGCGACGTTATGTGTTGCAAAAGGGTAGAAGAAGTAGAATTCAATGTGATTGTTTTCTTCCCGTATGTGAGAGTGGTCACCAAGTAATCATAAGAGTTTGGTAAAGAGTACAACAAAATAATAGGTTTATCCTCATTGTCAACCTTCACACCAAGTCGTGTCAAATCAGCGAGGATGTTATTGAAAGCGTTGACATGAGCCTACAAATCGCCTCATTTCTGCATCTTTCGACTATAGAGACGCTGCTTCGTGGACAATTTGTTTTTTAGCGTCTTGGACATGTACTGATTTTTCAATTTTTCTCAAACATCCTTCGAAGTTGTGAGGTTCAGATGAGATTCATCACGTCATCAGAAACACAAAGTCTTACCAAACATGTGCGGTCTTCTCCTTCATCTCATTCCAATCTATGGGTTTGATGCCTCTCATCACGAAACGCCTTCTATAAACTTTGTTGAGCCAACAGATCTTTAATCCTCTTTTGCCATAAAATGAAATTGCTCATTCTATCGAACCGAGTCACTTTGAATTTTGTACCTCCAGAATTAAGTGCCATTTGATACCAATTGTTAAAAGAGTAACATGAATACAAATCAAAGTAAAGAAAAACACACAAAAGCTTTGTTCATGCAATCTAATATTTATCCACTTGACATTTCCTACGAACCAAACTCAACAATCTATCAATTAAATAAAAACCATCCAAACTAAAAGATTTATATTTTAAGACAAAGTAAAATAAATAGTTGTTACAACAATCATCTCTGGTGAATCATTCCAACTCTCATCTTCTAAAGCAACTTTGTCATGCCATCATAATGATGTATAGACATATATTGTCTTCTAACTGCAAAAAGAGACGAAGAAAATAATTGGTGATTTATATTGAAATTTGACTATATTGAATCAATGATTTCAACAATATAAATGTAAAAATATTTAAATAATAATATGTATCACCACATCATCAAGGTATTTTAGATTTGGATTGAAAGGAGCTGAATTTCTCGAAGTATCATATCTATTTTCATAAAAGTAGCTCTAACCACATAAATATACATAAAGAACATGGTATGAATGCAATAGATTATTTTCAATTAAACAAAATTAAAAAATCATAGTACGAAATTTCATTTACTTGAACACTTTCTTGTGTGCATGTACCATTAACATCAATGGTTTGAGATAGAGAAAACTCTTCACTTTCTTGAATTTTAGATATACACGGTTTCTGTCAGTATAAACAATATCCAAATATATACGTTTGCTATAAGGTTTAAATAGATAAATAAACTTGAAAATTTCATAATTACCTCTTTTTGAATGTGATAATTATTAATTCTTTTTTAGTTTTCTTTTTCACAATGTGATCAATTTTAGAAGCTTATTTTTCTTTTGAAGGAAGACGCCCTTTACTAGTCACTATAGGTTCAAAAATTTTAGTCACATGATTTTAGTCACGCGAAAGCAGACATTGTCCGCATTTATTTATTTTCTATAAATTGTGTAAAATTCTCGTAATAGAAGTGACTTAAATTATACAAATCTGTTAGAGTGAAAACCATAACCCTAGGTCTTGTTTTTCTCAATTGAAATTTAAGTGATTTTACAAATAAGTTATTTTCATTTAAGTGTCTTTTCAATTAAGTTGTTTTCACCAAAATCTCGTATTTATTTTTTTATATACACACTAATAAGACGGAATTCGGTACTTAACCATTATTCTTTGGGGTTCGATAACCTTTTTCTACTTTGCAATATAAATTAGTGAAAAAATTTGTTTTTACTAAATAGCTAATAAAATAAAATTAAAATTAAAATGAATATAAAAAATAACTAAAATAACAATAAATATAAAAATTGTTTCCACTTCCACCCAAGAGCTAATATCATTCCTGGATGGGAAAGATGAAGAGAAAGAGATCAACTACAATTTCACTAGTTGTTTTTTATAATATAAAATTAAATATAATAATAAGTTGTTGCTAGGCCCCTTATGGTGCAATATCTTTCAGTAAAATGCAAAAAGTTACTGCTTCTGTTTTAATTCTGATAGATACACACAATGCACAAGGTCCCTCATTGTATTTACAGAGGTGTGAGCAAATAATGACACCATGTACAATATATTTTATATATAACAATTAGAAAGCAAAGCAGCCCTATGACAATTATGCATTAATCTTCAATATGGAGCCGTGAATTATGCGCTGAAACCACTGTGCAGAGAGCTCCATGGATTGGCTGGAATATTGGTGCATGCTTGTGCAGAGGCCTCAGCCATATGCTCTCTGTGTATTCCTGCGTTGCAGAAGTTCGCAAAGGACCTCATGTGTTTCATCCCATACTGTGATAGAGATCCGCAATATGTCTCAAAGGTCCTAACCTGCGTGCAATATCGATAGATTAAGGTGCAAACATACTCGCAGAAATCCAAAAGCTTCAATGTAATCTACAAATGAATGATAATCAACTACTGGAAAACTTGCTCGCATGTAATGATGTAATCATGTGATCTTATAATAAAAAGGAAAGCAATTATTCAGTCATATTTTTCGGCATCAAGATAACAATCTCAATCAAGTGAGATTTGACATGGTACCAGTGTTTTGAGGCAGTCCCAGTCATCAACAAGAGGCTGCCCAGCTGGTCTAACACTGGTGAGCACCTCTGGACCCTTTTTCATGCCAAATAGAAGTTTTCCAATAAGTTTCATGCTGTCATCTATATGCAATCTGTGAGACATTGCTTCCAGAACTTGCTTCTGAGCTGCAATTTTCCTAGGAGAACCTTGAGGAGCTTTGCGGAACTGCCAATGATCAGCGACGATGAAGTCAAAATACAAAATACTATAATAAGCAAAACACAAGTCCAACAGAATAAGTATCTGCATATAACAACCCTTATTTTCTTGCAACTTTATTATCATTAAATTAATACCAATTGACAACATTTCAAGAAATAAAAAAAACATTGCACTCAATCGTAATAGACTGGAATTTGTACTTTTCCAGATTTATCCAATTTATTTTGTTACTAACTTTTTAATTCATATCTAGTTAATAAGTTCATCTGCATCCAAAAATATCTGGTTAGTGGAATTTAATTCATCTGCTTTTTATGGCACATTTGGTAAACGAATTGGTGATTCCATGGAGTACACTAACATGGAATAGCAATGTCCAGTCTGAAACTAGGCAGTTTCAAGAATAGGAATGGGATGGCATTCAATTATGGAATGAATGCAGAAAAGAATCAGGGGGAATCTTCATTCTAAAGAATGGAAAATCACCATGATACAAGATTTATCTTTCAATACCATACAGTTGATACTATGGCATGTTCGTCACATATCCTCATCAATTGTTACTTGGTTTCTGCACTATTTGTTAACATTGAATCTCGAAATTTTGGTTCAACAAATAATAAATATTCTTACTATGCATATATTACTTCATATTTAATTAAAATTTGGAAGCCAAATCATGAAGATAGAACTAAGCATTTATTTCATAAAATATAGCACTACATCCCACAAATTAGATACCTTATCCCAGAAATGGATTAGATCTGCATCACGCTGGTTGGTCGCTTTGGAAGGTGGCACTAGTGAGTTTCTACCCACAAAAGTAAAATTTTCATTTGAAGGATTTGATCCCAGATATAGGAATAGACTATCCCTGCTAAGCTCAATGTCACCGTATTGCATCACATGGGAACCAAAATCTGAATTCCCGTTTGACGTCCTTTCTTTTACCTGTGAGCATAAGAGCAAGAAGAAATATGTCACATAATTCAAAAATACCTTATACCTTGTTTGGCCCGTAAAATTTTAGACCCATAATTTTATGAAAATAACCAAAATTTTCTCCAATCTTAAAGAACCAAGCTATAAAATTGTATTCTTTGATTTATACTAGTTGATCATGTAAAACAACAGGGCTGGCCAAAGAGTCTTACCAATTCATATTGCTGGTGCAAAGTTTCTGTTTGCAAATTGTGTTTGTCACTGTTCAAAAGTTAAGATGTAAAAAAATCAGTACATGATAAAAGACCTTACACCATTAGTTATGCAAAAGTAGCTTTCTTCTAACAAGTAGAAAAAAGTTTTTGTGTGCAAGAAAGAAAATATTTCTTTTGATGGAAAAAAGGTATCGCAAAGTACAAGATAATAGGCCAACATAAATGTAATGGTAATATTCTAGTGCCACAACAGTCACGGGCTTTCAACCATGTCATTGAAATTTTCTAATTACAAGTATTGCATCCAATACATCTTATTTATGACCCCAAAATACATTCACAATCATGAGTGGCTTTAAGTAACAAATAATATCAGGTTAATGTTGGGTGCGGGCCCAATTAACAGAACCTACTTTAAGGATAGGAAACTAGGAGGATTCGGTTGTTTTATGTGGATTATGTTGGGAGAGACTAGGCTCTTTAATTCCTAGACAATTACGTTAGTTATTGGTAGTTAATATTCCAATTGCAGCAGTTGTACTTTCCCTCTGTTTTCTAGCTGCTATAGTTACTGCAGAAGTGTTTTATCAATAATACTCAGCTTATCATTCTATGCATTAGTCTTTTAAATACCAAAGAACTATCACTGGTATCTGAGCAGTAAGATCTTAGGGATTAGATGGCTTCAATATGAGGCGTGAAAATTCTGAAACATGGGTTTGAGGGATTGTTATTGATGAGGGAAAATCTGGAAAAGAGCCTTGAACAGAAGATGTTGGAACATTTGGAAACTAGAAGACAATTGAATGAATAATGGAGAGATGGTGTGATAAACTACAATTCATCCTAATCAGAATGATAATTCTGGTCAAGGAAGACAAGTGGACAATGAAGATGGTGTCCGAGTTCCGGCTAATTTATGAAACTTGGTGGAATGTTGGAGAAAATTAAAAAATTAATCATTGGAGAATAGCATTGTTATACTTCCTATTAGAGAAAAATAAAAGAGAGGGCAGAAATTAATTGGCAGTTATGAACAGTTATGGTGTTTATTTATATGACTAACTACTAACTAGAGAAAGGAAATGAGAAGTGATAATGGGACAGTTATTGAGTGTTAATGGTAGGGAGACCAAGCTCTCGAATTCTTGAAAGGGAGGACCAAGAATCTTGAATTTCTTGGAAATGGACTGTCTTGTAACGATAGTCTATCTCTTGAATTCTGCATTCTCTATATTGTGTATAATTTTGTTTCTTTCGTAAACATATTCTACCATCAATAAAAATTAGATTCTACAACAAAATTGCATCTCAGTACCAGTTTATAACAGTTAAATGTTTACTTGTTGTGCTCATATGATCTTACCTGTCTTCCATCCAAGCAACACTATATAGGTCACCCAAGCAGGTTTCATATTCCGGGGGAGGACTAGGATCCTCCCCGGGACAATATGTTCCCCAACTGCTTTCTTCTGCGTTTGAGGCAGTAGTTGCATAGATATTTAGACCTTCAGGAAGAAGACCTTCGAAGATACTCCCAGATTCGCATGCCTCTAGATAAAATACCTGCACATCCATTAGATGAAATAATTAAGCAGCTTTGGTGTGGGTTGACACAAACAGAAAGCAAATGCTAAGTACTAGCAACTCACAAGGCTTTTATAAGTTCCAGCAGCATGTTTCATCTTCAAGACTTCAACTAAATCGGATGCGAACATGTACGGACTAGTGGGCATCCCTGAAATCCAACCCCAGTTAAACCCCCACCCCCAAATAAAGGATCACATTAAAAATAGAAAGGAGTAAATATTTGGTGTGAAGAAACACTTGGTGGGGTTACGAGAATACCAAAATGTTAATATAAGAATCACTGATTATAGTATCAATCGCCAAAATAATCAAAAATCCAACCACAACCATATTCATAGGATAACATATTATCAAAATATTAACATTGATCCTCAGCTATGCTGCATAATATTAAGCTCCATATATCCCTCTTCAAATAACAATCCAAATTAAACACTCAGGACAATCTTAGAAATCCAAAACCCTTGTCTAATTTTTTTAAAAATGTTCTTATCAAACAATCATCCTAACCCTTTCGAGTCCAAACCTTTTGGTTGATTATGCTTATCATAACAACTAAAGATAGTTTTAGCTAGAAACAATCCATAACAGCTTCAAGTGTGAGCAAAGTGTATTACTATAGGTAATGCTAAATTCCATTCTGCTAAACATAATAAATCAAAAGCATATTTTAAACCCGACACAATAATAATCACTAACCAAGCACTCCAGGACCCCCATGATCACTATAGTAAACAAATATATGATCATTGGGACCACTATCCACAACCTTCCCACTGCCGCCACTAAGAGCCGACTTATTTCCAAGTAAAGCAGCAAAGAAGTTGCCCACAGTAACATCTTCACCCGTATAATCCTACCATAAAAGAATCCACATAAGCAAACACTAAATCTTGAATACAAAACAGAACACTATTAAGAGATTCAAAAAATAGAAAAACCTTAGGGACTCCCTTGTAAACATTCTCTCCATTTGGACTGTTAATGATGACTCCAGGATGTGGATTCTCTTCGTCGTAAGCAACATCATCATACATAAAAACAATAATATTCTCCTCTTTTAAACCACCTTTCCTCAACACTTGATATGCGTGACATACATCAGACTGATGAAATAAATAAATTAAGAAGCAAAAAAAATCAGATAAGAAAATGAGTTACGAGCTATGAACACGACATTAACACGGCCGGTCAACACCGGTAATAATTTGAAAAATATGAATAAATTAAACTAATTGGTGTCCGTGATATACTATGAATTTTGAATCTGGGAAAAGGAAGGGGAAAATGACCTGATGTCTGTAATTCCAGTAGCCATTGGAGCCAGCGATTAGGATGGCCCATCGGGTGCCTTCGTTGTTATCGTTGAGGAATGTGGAAGTTTGGGAGGGTAATCGGAGAAAATCTCCGGTGAGGTCGTGGAGGGCGGAGATGAGGGGGACGGTGGCGATGAGGAGGAGGAGGATGGGTAATTGAAAGCGGGCCATGAGGGAGGGCGTTGGAAGGAAAGAGCGCGCAGAAATGTCGGTGAGAATGGGATAATATGATATGAGAGACTCTCTCACCTCAACGCCAGCGATGCATTCCCCTAATAAAAACAAAAAAAGTAATTACAATAATAAATTGATAATGTACATTTCGAAATAAATGAAAGAGACAAAAAGAAAAAAGGAAAGAGATGGAGTAATAAGAGCGTGAAGCGTATCGTTGGGGGGCTTTCCCACTTTCGGTTACTTTTATTCCTTTTCTTTCTTTTTGGATTTTTTTTTAATATAACTTACTTTTTTTTAAAATAATACCAAAATAACATTTTTTTTTTTAATTTACCAAAAAAAAAATGTATTTTCAAAAAACGGCAAGAGGAGTAGCCCTTTAAAATGACATATACACTTAAAATAAAGTATATGCACTATTTATTATGGCTCATACATATCAGTTACGTCATACGGTATGACGCATTAATGAAACTTAAAAAAAAACACCTACATAGAGGCCACATATGATATGGTGCCTTAGTTAATTTTAATTTTTCTTTTTTTAAAAGTCATTTTATATGGTGCGAATGTTCTTTTATATTTTTTTTCCAATTAGCCATATAAGATGGCGCCTAAGTGTGTTTATGATTCTCATTTAAAACTCATAAGTCATACCATATAGCGCCTTAGTGCAAGAATAAAGGGTATCTGTCATATGCTTTGGCGAGTTGGTGGAAAAAAAAGGCTATGTGCCATATGATATAGCGACTTGGTGCAAGTTATACATGTGAAGAGGAATCTTATTGCAAGGCATGTGTAAGGCATCTTTCAGATATGCTTCTTTATGATAAAATTCACTTACACGATCACATGCTTATGTCCATAAATGCATTATTAAAAGATGTCTTACACATGCCTTACAATAAGATTCCTCCTCACAGGCATAACTTGCACCAAGTCGCCATATCATATGGCGCATGATCGCAACTTTCTATGTCTAATACAACATAACTGCAAGTGCACAGTCTATCGCGTAGTAATAATAGATATCGATCCCACAGGGACTCGTAATCAAACTAGTGTTCTCAGGAGTTACTATGTTTAGCTAGGTAGATAATGTTTAAGGGAATAAGATTGTCACTAAAGGGAACTAAGAATGTTAATTAAATTATAATTAAGTGAATCGATATGCAGTAATTATGTTCTTCGGGGATTTGACAAGTTACCGGTATACGAAATATTTTTCAGAGTTTATTTAAGCAGAAAATGGTGATCTGAAGACTCTCGCCTCATGATGGTTATTGACGCTAATCATAATTCTAAGGGCCAAACGTACGCTTTCGTGTCCCATTCGGGGTTTAAATTATTTTTTGGAAATCTCTAAATTCTAATTCATTTTAAAGTGCTTTCGCTGTTATTAAAATGAATGACTAGTGTTTACTATCTGGTCTTGCCGCAGCTTTCGCTTGTTGGTTCGTACCTTAATTAATTTCTCATTTTCGTGGCAAAACTACTTTTAAATAAGTTCTCCCTTTCGCGACGAAATTTATTCCGTAAATTAATTTAAACACTCAGACCATAAACAACTTTTGAAAAAGACAATTTTCAACCGGTTATTATCAAATCCCTTCCGAATTATTATTACATATCGATTACTTTAATTTAGCCAGACATGGATTTGGGAAAGGTAAAACATAAATGAAAACAATAAATAATAGCATACATCATAATAAAAACTGGAATTACGATTAAAATGAGAAACCTGTAAATATTCCAATTGACCTTTGGGCAGATCCTCCACAAATGTTGGCAGGATTCTGGTCTTTGTGGCAATTGATCGTACAACGGAAATAAGAATTACAGAAGAAATGAAAGGAATGCAGAAAGAGAAAAGAGAAACAAATAAGAATATTAAAAACTGGAAAGGTTGCTCTGAAAATAAATTGGCAGCACTTCCTTGTCTGAATGCGGCTCCCTTTCTGAGTTCCCCTTCTTCCCCTTTTATAGAAATGGAATTCTAACGGTTATAACTTGAAGAAGGTGGACTTTGAGGCAGAATTATCAAGGAGTAGTGGTCCACTATTTGGGACTTGGAACTGTTTCTTTCACGTGCATTTGAAGTGGAGCGTTTTTGCCTGCATGACGGTCGTCACAATGTGTGACGGTCGTCACCCGTGTGACGGTCGTCATGGAGCTGTGACGGTCGTCACAGCAGCAAAATCAGCATTCTGCGTTTTTCATGTTGTTTTCATCCGATTTTCGTCCATATTTCATCTGAGATTGCTTCTTTTCTTCATATTGCCTTGTTTAGACGTGATTATCAAATACCTGTAAAACATTAGACAAATAACACGGAGATAACCCGAAATTGGATCGAAAACAGTTAAACTTCAGTTGAATTATGCATCAAAATATATATACGATTTCGAGTTATCAAACTCCCCTAAGCTTGAATATTTGTTTGTCCTCAAGTAAAACAGGAAAAGGTCGGCAAGCACGAGGCAGCTTCTTCGTTCGCAAAGTTGGGAAAAATCGGGATTCTTAGTAAGAACAAAACGAGTACCATGACGACACTGGACTACAAGTCTTCGGAGGTCTCCTTCTTATGCAAATCGGTCCCAGTTATGCTACTGTAGCTTGGTGTCAAGGTCCTCGCGGCAAGTTCACCCTGTTTGTTCTAGCGCAATCACATTAAGCCCGTTGTCCATACACTTTCATGGCAAGTCGACCTATTAGTGAATATGATCTCATTTCTGTTTTGATCTTCTTCATTGATCATAAGCTTGTATCATTGATTTTTCAATGAGTTTTCGTGTCGTTGGGCTAAATGCTCGGGTGAGGAGCACCTAACTTAGAAGGAAATGTGTCTTTATATTTTTGGCTATCTAGCTTTCTTTTCATGATTTTTCATCTTTTTGGAGATCATACACTTATTTGCATTGGTCGCTCGCTTAGAAGTGTTTTAGGATGGTGTTGACTGCTAGTATAAACTACTTGGGGCTGAGTTTGCGTAGACACTTGAGACTTTGGTACACGTAGGTAGTGAAACCGACTCGCATAAACCGGAGATCCAAGGTGTCAGGACGGTACTGGTTTTGTTAGAATTGTTGTCTCCTCGGAGTTTCAAAACTTGGTTTGAATTCGGGTGCATTCTCATGATGCTTTTGCTTTTGAGGAACGAACGAAAAAAATTTGTTGTTTTACGTCGAATAACGTGGGGATGTTTGCGTAACGGAAAAAGGATATATATAAACGAGCTTTATTTGCTAAAAATAGAAAATGTTTGAATAGAAATTACGAAAATAAAAGTACACAGGAATGGGAAATAAACGCTCCGTTCCCACACTATCTCAATCAGTGTCCCCACTGATTTGAAAGAATGCGAGAGGGAGGTACAACGGAAATGAAAGTACATAGAAACTGCAAATATAGTAAACAAATAAGGGAAATGGTAACTAATCACGGCCTCTGCCTCGGTCACGTCCTCGCTCGCGTCCTCTGGCTCTGACCTGGGCAACTCGGTCCTCAAAACTCATAGCTCCGGTGTGATAGACATAGTTACGGAGTCCTTCGACCTGCAAGGTCAGATTCGCCAAGTTCTTAGTAATGGTTTCTTGGCCGGTTTGTAGTTGTTGCATTTGGGTCTGATGCCAAGCTTCGAACTGCTCGGCTCGCTGATTCTGCTGCTGCATCATAGCGAGTATCTGGGCCTGCTGGTCGAGAGAGCGGCGGAGGTCCTCTTCTGAGTAGTTGGGCACTGGGCGATGGCGGCGGCGGAAGGATGTACCTTCGGAAGGAAGAGGCTGCGATGCCTCCGGTTGCTCCGGTCTGTCCAACTCAGCTTGGATTTCGTCGTCAGAACCTTGGGTGTGGTCCTGAGCTGGAGCAGCGGCAGCAGGAGGGGCAGTGAGGTCAAATAACCAGTTGGTACGATCCTTTGGGTGTGTTCGGGTGCGTGATGGAAGGATGATGCTTCGGACGGTTTTGCCACGTACTACCGGGTGGTACTTGCCATCGGCTCTGGAACGGATGAGGTGAGAGGCTCTGCAGTGGTCGGTGTCAAGGAACACTGAGGGGATGGCATGGAGGTGCTGGAGGCGGTCGCCGAGGTTCAGCCCAAGTGCAATGGCAGTGACAATCCCGCCAAAGTAAAATGGCTTGGAGCCACGATTACAGTTGGCCTGAATGTGGGCCAGGAGGAACGGAGCGGCGTTGATAGGCTCGTTGTTGAAGACACAGTGGAGGAAGAAGAGCTCTTTCGAGTTCACCTTATGGTTGATGTCCCGGGCGAAGATTGTGTTGCTCAATGCTCGGTGGAAGTACCGGATGGTCGGGTTATGGATATGCGTTGCGTGCAGAGAATCCCAACCATCGGCATTGATGCCGGTCAACTGGTGTCAGAGCGCGAAGGCTTCGTGCTGGAACTGATCGGTGAGGCGGCGGTGAGCATTGTCGCCTCGAGGGAGTTGTAAGATGGCGGCAATCTGGTTCTGGTTCACTTGATAGTTTGTGCCGAACATCCGGAAGCATGCGGCACCAGAGTGTTGCCTGAGGTCGCCGCTGGAAGTGACGTAGGTGAACGAACTTAGGAACTCGAGAGTGAGTTGTTCGTACGTCGGCAGTGGATTGGTGCAGAGGTTCCAGATGCCGGCTCTTTGAAGCATCCAAGTGACGCCGTCAAGGAGTCCGAGCTCTGTGAGCGATGGAATATATGGATAATGCGTCGGCTGGAGCGACCGTTGATGGAATGCGATGTAGTTGGCCCGCTGTCTCTCGCCGGAGTCACCTTCGCTGAACACAATGTTGTTGAGGTCTGGGGTTTCGTGGTTTCTCGCCATTGTTGGAGGATTGAAGTGGTTCTGAGGAGTGGGAAAATGTGACAGAAGTGTAGTAGGAAGTTGAGATGGGAGTTGGGATATATGGTGCAAGGTGGGGAAAACGAAAAATTGGAGTGGGGAGGGAGTTGCTGATGATTGGAAGTTGAGAGGGGATGAGTGGGAGAGAAAACGCAA